TTCTGCATGGAGCACTGGGTGTTATGCACAAACAATGAATCATGGAACACTACATCTAAAACTGATGATGTAATGTATGGGGATAATATAAGAATAAAAAAATTAAAAAAAAAAAACAAATGAGAGAGAGATAGAGAGAGATACTAATAGTATGGGTTGAAGTAGGGACTAGGGGCGTTGTGTTGGGGAGGGGGGCACAGTCAGTTTGGACTGGGAGAGACAGAAGAGGTTTTATAGATGGAGAGAGGGCTGAACTGACTTAAGGCATGTGATGAGCAGAGCATAAATGTGCTTCTCACAGCTGAGGTGCTCAGGCAACAGCGAGCCCACCTGTGGCTGGAGCAAAGCATTCAGGCAGAAAGCCCTAGGTAGGTGATGAAGATGGAAAAGGCCAGCTGGACCCAGACCAGGGATGAGTGCTCTACTCCAAGGTGGGAAGTCTAGTGAAGGGCTACACAGCTGTCCAGGCTACCACTGCAAACCTCATTTTGCAAGACTTTTTTTTTCCCCCAAAAAAGGTGTATGTAATTTGATCCTTCGATTTTTTCATGGCTAGATCTAAGCAGATGAGTTCTAAGGTTACATGATTTTTTAAATATCTCTGTTTGTTCCCAGTTCACCAATAGAGTCTTAGGGCCGTGAACAAGGGAAGACTTAAGGTGATATTCCATATCAGTCATCTTCCAAGGAATCTGAGGCAAAACATACTTTCTTTTGCCTGAAAGGAAACAGAATTCACAAAGTTCTTTGTGATTCTTTAACACAAAACGTCACACTGGCAGAACAGAGCTAAAGGTATCCCAAGTCCAGCTTGCACAAATTCTATAACATATTTGAAGAAAAATAAATCATTAGAAGCAGAAGAATAAAAGGAAAATTTGAAATGAACAAGACTTATTGTTCAGAAAAGCCATTTTAACAAAGGAAAATCGTATTCACCTTAAAAACTTTTCCTTAAAATCATGTTAACAATCCTTCATAATCATGAATAAATTGTGATTTAAAGAGAGTATAAACTCCTTCAAAATAGTTCAGCACTAACCATTTGCAAGCATTTCTTTCCCTTTTTCTTCTCTTTTTTTTCCCAGAAATCCCAACATAGGTAATTGAGTAGCTCTATAGAATATACTTGTAAAGTAACATCCTAGTATTTACACTAATACCCAGGCAGTCAAGAGAGATCCTTTTGTTTCATTAGTGTTTCTAAATTTGGGGGGGCAGGGGGGTGTGTGTGTGTATGTGTGTGAGGGAGGGGGAGGCCCTACTATTTTTTAAATGCTCAAATAAAACAAATACCATAAAAAAGAACTTGTGACTTAGACATACCCCGAGTTCAGTTTTGCCAGGAATGGAAAAAACAGTCAACAGAGCCCTAACCTCCTTTCTCTCTTGACTATACAATAGTGTTCAAAGAGGTTTAGTCCTACTATGAAAGACTCATGTTAGACATTGGAAGGGTCTAATAGAAAATGAGCACCAGGCATTGAATAAACTAGGGAGATGGTGACCTTTTGCCCCTTGTGCTGAAAGCCCAGCACATCCTGTAGCAGAGGAACAGAAAAAAGCCAGTGTGCATCCAGGTGCTGCAAAATCCTTGCCTCTGGATTTCTCCCACACTCTGTTCCTTAAACAGTCTAAAACTGAAACAGGACTTAAATGGTATTAGCAAGTGAGAGAAAAGTACAATTCCTGGAACCAACTGTTCCACTGTCCCTTAATCCTTTGTTCCCCATATTGTTTGAGTCCTGCAGCACGCAGCACACATTCCACTAGCAACAGGCAAGACAATGGATTTAGCAGCGGCTGGACAATTAGTCCCAATTAGGCCTATTTCCCAGCTGAATGTAAAGGGGTAGTGGGGTGAGGTGTGGGGGGAAAAACTACAGAAAATTTAAAGAAATATTTCATCGTGGAGGCAAACAATACATGTAAAGCAAACTGAACCAGGGGTCAGGAGACTCTGCCAAAAGTCACTGTGTGACACTGGGCAAATACCTTAACCTCTCTGTTGTTACCCACAAAATGCGGGCAACCGACCACCACCCCTTAGATCTGGTGATCCAACGTCAGATTGTGGTTTTCAAAAGTACATTGAAAATCTGAAAAAGTTACACAGATGCAGGGTATTCCTCTGAGCTATATTTGGAAGCACAGATACTCATCTGTTTTATAAATCATACACCTTTTATTCTCCCTGGCAGAAGTCATCAGGGACTTTCTTATTTTATTTCTATTTTCTTGATTACTAATTTTTTTAAGTTCATGAGTGATACTTACATATGTACATGTGGCGGCTGGAATCTGCTCTGGTTGATATTGTAGTGCGTGAATGCCTGGGTGGGGTTTGAGCTATACTCATCCACCGTTATGGTAACTTTGCCTTGAGAAGGAATCCCATGAGCCATCCTTCCTCCCTATAGGCATGAGCAATTCACAACTTTCCAGAACAAAGGATGGACGCAGGCATGGTGTGTTTCAGCCAACCTCTGAACCCAAGGATCTACTCATCAATACCACTGTGCGTTTCTGAAAAAAAAAAAAAAAATTATAAAATGAGAACAAAGAAAACGAAGGTGCTCTAAGAAACATCAAATATGACACCTGGACATGAAATGGGCTCAGGAAAAATCTTAATGTGTGTCGTTGCCCCGTGAATACAACCTTCCCCAGCACTCTATCCTGCATGCACTTCAGAGTGGACCCTGAGCTCCATATGACATTGCTGGCTGCCGGCAAATCACTTCAGTGGCGTTCAAACTAAGATTTCCTCTTTAATTATAATTATGGCACTTAACATGAATTACGGAAGGGGCATATCCACAGTTGCCATGGTGTCTAACTATAAATGGTTTGTGCTCGAAGTGGAGAATCTTCCAAACCTTCCCTGCTAATTGGAATGTCTAGTCTGTACAAAGTTGATGTCATAGAATAATGTGAAATCTCAATGCTTAACACAGCCAGCCATATAACACGATATCAAATGTAAGTTTAAAATGCTGCACTTATAATAGATACCTGTGTATAGCTATAATACGCACATAATATAGGCACATGTTACATGCAATTTTTTCTTTCACAAGCAGTTCCCCAAATACCCAGGTACTCAACACCTGGTATACATATGTATTCCATTCTGGCCAAGAATCTTATGGTAGGGCAAATCCTTCTTGCTAAATGTAATATGATTTCTTCAAACACTACAGTCACGCGGGGGAAAGTCAAACACATCCAGACTTGGACCACTACTTGGATGCATTCACTACGGCCCCTCTTAGAGCCCAAAGAGAGCACTGAAAGGGGGCGTCCATTACGTCTACCACCTCATTCTTGCCTGGTGCTGTATAATTCTCAGCAGCTGGTTTCATCCTCTCAAAATTTCCACTAGTTTTGATTTTTCTGATAAATGTCAATATATTATTTGCTGCGCTGGGTTGAGAAATGAAGATGTTTATTTTTATGGTAGGTATGCAAAGACTAAGAGAGCAAATCCCTGCACTGAGGCTGTTGGAACTCATCAGTGCAACAAAGAAGAAACGGGTAGCACCCTCCTTGAGTAACCCTGGGGTAACCCACGCTCCTTAAGTGCTCTGCATCAGAGTATGTTTGCCATGTGCACCATTAAGCTCCAGGAGTCTTAGCTGTTATCTCAAATAAAAATATTTAGAATAATAAGATTAGATTTAAATTTGGCATGAAACACCTTAGATATCAAGCAAAAGGCAGATGGCCTGCCATAGGCCATTTATTTTATTATTTTACAACCCGGGGGTTGTGTAGTCCTCCATATGCTAGCTGGGCTAAGAAATTCCACAGCGTTCTACTCAAATCATTGCCTTCTTCATATTAGCAAAGCAAGCTAAATGACACCCACTTTGCCTTCGTTCCTAATGCACAACGCCACTGCCAAGACATGAATCCCTGGTGTTCTGGCATTTTAAACGAAGTGTCACTTTGGGTTCTCTTTCTTCTTCCTGACTTCATGGGAGGTAGGAGTCCTTTAAGCACTAGTTGATAGACAACCAGGCCAGTAGGATTAACTAAATTAAAATCTTTCCCTGCTCCTTTGATGTAAGATATCTATAAGAACTGCTTACAAATCATAATGTAGTAGCAGTTTTCATACCAAGTTTGCAGCTGTTTCCTTAATTTCCCCCACAATTATATTTTACTGTTATTTTGCATAACAGTAAAACACAACACCTGCTTCAAATTGCAGTCCTGTTCTAAGTACTGTAATTCTCTTTTGAGACACAAAGTACCGAGACACTACTGAAGCGCAAAACTGCATAATTGCGCCATGCTGAAAAGTAAATACAAATGAAAACATCTTCCTGTTATAGAAATGACTGTCATTAAAAAGAATGTTAGCCATCAAAGCACAGAGGGAAAAAAAATACACATTTTCAGACTCCGAGAACTTAGTGTTTGCATAAATTAAAGAGTGGTGTAAAAATTACATGGCAATTCTTATGTTCCTGCCATCAAAGTCTATTGTGTGAGATACGCAGCATTAAGAAGCAAAGGAGACAAAATTCATGTCTACGCCACTGTGACCTCTCAATAACGATCTCTGCACTCTGTGTCAGAGAAAGGTTTAAATGTTCCTGGAGTAAACTCACCAATTAAACTAAGCAAAAGAGCCTAGAAATAAAATTTCCACACCTATTATGTAAATATCTATGCAGTGACTTAGAGGAGTTAGGATTAGACCCTCCCATTTGAAGCAGAGAACTTAGAAGGTGATCAGTTCACACTCCTCAATGGTCCAGTCTATCCTAAAGTCCAAGTAGGATTGCCTTTTCTATCAAGTGAACATCTGTGCCTCTTTGTACCTTTGCCCCAGCAAGACAAATAGAACATCTTTTCATCAGCAAGCACAGGCCCCTGTAACTCTGAAGGGCTAAATGGGTGGCTGGCACCTCATTTGAATTCATCTCTACCATGTTCTCTTTCAAATGTTTTATCGAAAGAGTGCACCTGCAGTGTCTACCTTCTTTAATCTGGAGTCCTTTGAAGAAACTGTCGGACTGAGGCAGAGAGCTTCAAAACTTTCACAGGAACCTTTACAGACAAGTCAAGAAAAGGCTTATTTTTTAAAATACTATGTTCACCCCCACTCAGATATTAAACACCAACACATGGAAAAGGTTTTTTTTTTTTCTAGCAAACTCTCAAAGAGAGGGGACAATGGCCCCTCCTCTGACCTGAGAAATTTGGAAAAAGCTTGAAACAAGACAGAATGATACACAGCCTAAAACTATCCAGAAGCTGATTTACCTTGCTTCACACATTTAGGCAGTAAAAGCTTCCAAATGTTCAGATTTTGGAGCATCTCATCCTCATTACACTTACATCACTTTTTACATATAATATTTAAAGAGTATTCTTTCAATTTTCATTTTATAATTTCAGCACATTTGCTCCACAAAACAAAGGAACCTGGCACTAAATGCCAGGAATCCTAAAGGAGAATCTAAAAGGGACTGACATTGCCAAATATTCATGCTGGTGCTAGTTTGATTTTCGCCTTAAAAAAAATCGTGTGGGCTCATTTTGCATTTCCTAGACAGCAATAGAGTCTCCTGCCCCTTAAGCTGTGCAACTTGCAATGTTCTTTTTCAGGAATCTAGCTGGAAAACCTTTTAAAGTCTGCTGGCAATGAAAGGATTAAAAGCTGAGGAATTAAATAACTGTCTCCACCTCCTAGACACCAGAAGTCCAATTTACCTAAAGTTTCAAAGCAACAACTCATGACCTCCCTACCCGAGCTCGTTTGGCACAGCCTATGAGAAAGGAGCCCGTGATTTCCTCGTTTAAACAAGGATGCTCATTTTATTCACTAGCCCTGAGAAGATCGCCCGACCGCCTGGCCGGACTTTGGAACTCGCCTGCTCCAACTCCACCAAATTTCGCTCTCTCCTCCCTCTGCCTGCCGCACGGATCGAGTGATTTCTCAACTCACGCCCCTACTCTTTTATGCCCACCTCCAGTTACTCATCCCCGTATCCCGGAGCGATGCCTACAAGCCTTCTCAGAGGCTTCTCCGCCAGGGTTTTGAGAGGGATGCACAAAGTTCCACGTGCCTCTGTCCACAGAGCGCCCCCCCCCCACTCCCGCCGCACTTACACCTGAACTTGTCTCCAGCACTGCGGACACCCGCCTGGCACATTCTTTCGGAGAGAAAGGGCAGGACTTTTCTCCTGCGCCTCTGGCAACGCGTAGAGCCTATATATGGTGGGGCGGGGGGCGCGGAATTCTCCACTTTGGATTGGTTTGTTTGTTTTAAATCTAGGGTGGGCAGTTTGGGGGGGGGTGTCCTTCAGCAACTACACACACACACACACACACACACTCACACACTCACACACTCGCCCTGCCCTCCCGGCTTACGGCCGGCTCGTCCGGGCTACAGCTCCCCCTTCCTTCCTGGAGCACCAGCTCGCCTTACTCGCTCAGTCCCCCGTTGCCACCACCGTCGCCTCCGCTACTGCCGCCGCTGCTCGCACTGCTGGAGCTGGCGCTCGCGGCCCCGGGCTCCGCCGGGCGCCTGTCTCTCTTTCTCTCCCCCAGCCCCGGATTGATTGATGACCACCGGCGGCCAATGGCTCTGACACCGCGCCATCCTCGCCCGAGCATCACAGCCCCACGCCCCCGACGTCAGCCTCGCGGGCGCACTGGCATCCCCGAACCCTCAGAGCGGAGCCCGCGCCCGGAGCCGCCACCGCCGCCTCCCTGCTCTCTGCCCGGAGCTGCCGGGCTGCTTTCCTGGAGCGGCGGAGAAAGGAAGGGAGGGAGCCAGCGAGCGTTGGAAGGGGGTGTGGAGGCCACGGATTTCCCCCCTCTTTAGAAATCTTCTTTCCCTTAAAGTTTTGTTTTTTTCCACCCGGACCTGTTTGTGTTTGTTTGCAGCATCTAAATCAATTACACATTTTGCATGACCCGCATTTGCTCTTAATTTGGGGTATGTTGGGGGAGGGGGTTAGTAAATGTTCTATAAATCTACCCCACCGGGGCATCCTTAATTTCTTGCTGGTAGATTCTAACTCCCTCCCCGATCTCCGGAAAAATGCCCCCTTCATCTCCTAGGCCGCAAAACCCCTGAATTCAAAGGCTTTACAAAGATAACCCTGTTCCGTGTAAATAGCAAAGAAACTCCTGCCTCTCTGGAGAAGAAATCGGGCGGCAACGGTTACTTTTTCTCCTCGCTCGTCCCCCCGCCGCCGTGCCCGGGTCGCAGGCTCGCTCCGCAGGCTGCCATCGTGAAGAGACCGGAGGCGGCAGGGGACAGCGAGGTTGGGGCGCGGGGACAGGGTGAGAAAAAGCCCCGCGCGAGAGCTGCGCGCGCGCGGGCGGCCCCGGGGGCGGCCGCGGAGCGCAGCCCAAGCACAAAGCTGCGCAGCGCCTTCCCGGCCACCGCACCTCGCTCGGGCCGCCTCGGGCGCCCGGGGCTCGGGCCAACACAATGCACCCGGGCCTAGGCCGGGGCGGTTCGAACACATAACCCCGGGACTTTCTAGTAAACAGCTCGCCTAGTCCTCGTCCCCACCCCCATCCCCGCCGCCTGGCTTTCGCTGATGCCCCTCGCGGACACCCCCTTCACCCCTCCTAAGAAATCCCGGCGGAGAAGGGAGCTGGAGGTGGGGACCTCGGGGGCTGAGGACTGGGGGGTGGGGGGGAGGGGAAATGAGCAGAGGGGCGAGATGGGGAGTGGGAGGGAGACAGCTCCTGAAAAAGAATTTGCTTTCGCTCCGGCGTAGAAAATACGCCCTCCTCGGGTTCCGAATTGCCCGGGAAGCGCCCGCTCGTGCGAATGTCAGGAGCACCGGGGCAGCCGCGGTCCGCAGCCTCCGAGCCCCTCGCACGCGCCTCTGACAAGGCACCTCTCACCCGGGCTCCGCTTTGTGTGTGCATTTTTTTTTTTTCCCTTCCTCTCGCGCGCGGCACCGGGCGCCCGGCCGCCTCCTCCCCCTCCCCCGCCCTCCGCCTCCCTTCCCGGGGCGGATTACCTTTCCCGGGCTGCGCTCCGGGTCCCGGGGATGCCTTCAGCGCCCAACGAGCAGGCGATCCATCGCGGAGCGGCCCGAGCCGGAGGGAGGCGTGCGGGGGGCGCGCGGGGGCGGCGAGGGGCGCGGGCGGGCCAGAACCTTCGACCCCGGAGGTCCCGCCGCGGGCTGGGGCGGGGGGCCGGGGGGCGCGGCACGAGAGGGAGGCGGGGGGGAGAAAGGACCCGAGCAGCCTCGATCTGGGGAGAGAGCGAGCGAGGGGGCGAGGAGAGGGAGCGAGGGCGCGGCGAGCCAGAGGGAGCGCGAGCGGTGCAGTGACAGGGACTGCCACTGGGGTCAAAGGAGCACAGCTCCAGGAAGCAGGGCGGCTGAGGCGCCGCTCCGTGCGCGCTCCCCGGCGGGACCCCGCGCCCCCGCGCGCCCCTCCTGCAGCCCGGGCCCGCTCGAACCCCCACCGGCGCCCCGAGGCCCCGGGGTTGCAAGAGGAGGAGGGAGCTGAGGGCGAGGCCGGCAGCCTGCTGGTGCTCTCAGGTCAAGCAGGCAGCAGGAAGCTGAGCCGCAAGTTCATCATCAGGAGTGTGATCAGCGTAAAAATGATCAGGGACTGGGGAGGGGGCGGCTGCGGAGCCCCAGAAAAATAAAGGGAGTTTTCCCTCCAAATGGGCGTCTTCTGCAAAGAGAACACCCAGGCCCCCCCATCCACCGACCTGCCTGGGGCTCTCTGGAGTCCTGGCACCGCTCCAGGGCGCCGAGCTCGCCGCGGGGGCAAGGGGAGCGGCTCGGGCCCTGGGCTCAAACCGAGGAAGGCGACCCTGGGTCCCCTCCCATCTGCTGAGCTTAGGCTTTCCTGGGGGAGAGCTGTGCTCTCTTTCCTCAAGGCTTTCGACTAGCCAGATACACACACACGCACACACACACCTTTCTCTCTGCAATGTTGTTCCTGAGAAAGAAAAGGCCAACCCAGCTGATAATTTTTTTCACCTCCATGAATTAAGGCAGGTTCAGAATAGGGGGGTGAAGAGGGTCAAAGACTCTTAATTGTTTCCATTTTTGTCTTGGGAGCACATATTCCCCCCACCCCAAAATAAGCACTTCAGAAACATTTTAAAAATTAAAGTTGGTCCTCTGTTTTCTGCTACTTTGGGTAATGGGGAAAAAAGACTTTCAGAATTGTATGCAAACAACATAAGGAAAGGAAAGGCTGCTGAAATGCTAGAAGACAGAAGACAAGGAAGAGAAGGCTTTTAGAAAACTTGGTTGGCGGAGCTGTCTATAAAAGATGAGGTGGCCCTGTGATGTTATGCCATTGTCAGAGCTGAAGGATTTGGACTGCAACCAGATCTAATTCCTTTCTAGGAGTCGGACTCAAAGATCTAGGCATTCTCCAAAGGGAAATCCAATGGATGTGTGTGAGAGAGAGAAGTGTGCTAAGTATACTATTTGACAACTGACTAGACATCCTGGCTGAAATTATATCCCCTAAAAATAAAAAGGAGCCATTTCAACCTGGTCTGTGGCCTCTGTGCTGAGACTAATTGGTTTCCAGGGTCTGGGGAGGAAGGGAGAGAGGCTGGTAGGAGCCCCTATAAAAGAAGATCAAACGGAATTCACTTGAAAATATTTCCCTTTTACAATGGGCTTTCCTGGCACTTGAATTTTAAGTAACCTATCTCTTATGCCTGAGCTGAAATGAAGGGAGAGATGGTGTTGCTAATAAATTTATTTTGTTGTACAATATGCCCAGAGTGTCAGTACTTGTCAAATGTTCTGAGATCAAGAGAACAGTGATTCTCCTTGCCCAGCACAAATCACAGCAAGTGGCATTGACATTAAAGATGGCAAAGATGGGGGGAGGGAAGGGGGGAACACCTTTAAATTTTGTTTTTGTTTTCCAGCTTAGCAGCAAACACTGACTAGAATCATGTTGAAGAAATGCTTGGTTTTGTTTCCCTTATTCTGAGTTAGCAGTGCACTCGTCTTAGCTAAATGGTTTGAATTTTTTTGACTGATTTGGGCTGATTTAATCAGTTAAAAAAAAAAACCCACAAGCCAAATAATTTCTGTGGTTTTCTTACTTTTTTTTAAATAACTGATAGTCAATCAAAACAGCCAAACTTAAATTCGTACATGAACCTGAATCTATATATGTGCACACAGATAATAAATAATAATGTGTTCTACTTAGTGGCACATTTTACAGGATATTTAATGCTATACAAAACAAGTGGTTGATCCTTTATAAAGTTGATGAAAATTTGTATATCATTCTACTGAGTGGGGAAAAACTGAGGCAAAAAAAGCTGTTTGAAATTGTAACTTGTAGTGTAGGAAGAAGTCATCCTCTTCTGTGTCTGTGATGATCAATTATCCACTGGGAGAAGTAGTGACCAAGCTGTATTAAGGCTGTGAATTTTTCTCTCTATTAGGTTACCAAAATAAAAAAGCCAGAGAAATAGAAATAAATCTAAATAGTAAGTCAGGAACAAAAGGGACTCACTTCTCAAAATTCTCATTACATGGATTTGAACATATTGTGTTTTGTTAAATCATATTGTCCTTCAATATAGATACCTACACTAAAAGCTTGTTTTAAAATGATTGGATGTGAACCATGTCTGTCCCCTGACATCACCTTTGAAACATCGAGCCTCATTAGAGCAAACTTGAAATGCTATCAGCTGGGATTTCTTTTTTTTTTTAAACATAAATGAGACTGTAAGCTTCATTTTTTTGTCATTGTTAAATTCAATTTTTACTGTTTATAATGGAAAACAAAAGAAGGCTAAAAATAAAATGCCAAGTTTATGATTGCCTTTATGCAAATATTACAGATTTTTCTCTTTAATGGAATGTAAATTTGGACCCTTTCTCCAGTGATTTCATCGAAGGAACTGGCAAATATGCTTCCTGATAGCCTGCTGCAATATCTTTTAAAATATCTTTTCAGAATGCATTTAGGGAAGAAAATGAGAGAGCGGAGCGTGGGAGAACTTTGGATGGAAGCTTGGAAAGTGGATGCTGCTTCCCTTGAAAGCTTAATACTTTATTTGGCATTAGCTCTCATTCTCCCTATGAGGACAGGTTTTCCAATACTTCAGGGACATGTGTATAACTGAAAACTTGGTTCAATCCTGTGGTTCTTCTTCAGAAAAAATTTTATCACAACTATTGCATTTCACTGAATAATTTTATTGAAATTATATACACCAATCTAACTCTATGAACAAACAGCAACTATTTTGCTTCTTTTTCCTTTAAATTTTCTGCATCTTTATCATTTTCCAGCAAAGCTTAAGATTATAGGTTATCAAAAATCAGAGCCTGCCAATAGAACTATTATGGTGCAATTCAAAAAAATCTGAGCCAACGAACATCCTTATTTTATTCTTAATTCCTACAGTTTTTACATTTTTTGACTTGTTTCAAATGTTTTTTGCTATAAACTCCTCAAGTTTAAGAACTATGCCCTTTATCCCTTTGTGTCCTTTATTCTTACGTGCTGTGTACATAGTAGAAACTTGGAAATATTTACTAAATGACAGTATGGGTCAATAAATGAGAAAGTGAGTAAGACAAGGCATGAGTGAAGGAGACAACTATACAATCAAGGAAAATCCATACCAGATATACAGGAACGGAAATGATGTCATGAGACCAGTGTCAGAGGATAAGAGCTAAGAACTCATGGTGTTCAAACAGTACATTTAAAAGGGTTTTCTAATATCTTTAGAAACAT